TAAAAGTGCAATTAAGTCACTGTGGATAAAAGCATGTGTCAAATGCATAAATATAAATACATGGTACAGATAACATCCTTTAAAAATGTTCTCTACCTTTTTGAAACATGGGACTACAGTTATTGAAGTTATAGAAGATACTAAATTTGATGTTGAAAAGACGTCCACAAACGACCACATTTGGTCCCACCAACGTCAATATTAGACGTGCAAAAGACGTCGCCTGGTGTTACAAAACAACCCCTTCAGTGGACTGAAATTGGACGTCCAAAAATTACATAGAAAAGACGTCACTCTAACGTCACATTGCGCAGTGGGTTGTATGTCATTAATTATAATTAACAAAACAATGAATCAAACTGCGGGACCAGCATTTGAATATACAGCACATCATCTAATGTATAGCTATATATACAGTATATATACTGTATATATATATATATATATATAAAGTGTTTGTGTTTAATGTGTTTACAGTATGTTAATGTATGTTTTACAGTATATTCCTACTGTACCTTTACAAAAAGACACATGAATATAGTGTTACAGCTGTTATCCTGGAAAGAATGAGTAGACTAAACCTATCCGTGTGGCTGTGTTTGTGTCTGAACTCAACTGAACCTGACCAGACTTAATATTTATAAACTATAAAGAGCTGCATGTAATCATGTCTGTGTATGGTAAACTGGAAGGTTTAAAAAGGATTTTTTTTTTTTTTTTTAATAAAACAAGTTCGTAAACACTATAAAATGAACGTACAACAAAAATGATGACTTAAAGCACAGAGTTTACAGACCAACCGAAAACTGTTTAGTTATGAACTGTATTTTTTCAGTGTCTACATATGTGATATTTCTGTGTTGGCACTTGAACAAGTGTTGGTAAATGTATAATTTGCACTCAATGATCTTGAGTATTTTGCAGCAAACTCAATGAGTATTTTGCAGCAAACATCTGTATCGCATATTGGTCCTTTGAACGTCTTTGAATGAAAACCACAATGGAAACCAGATGTGGAAACATTCCTTAGAAGTCTGCATGTGTGTGTTTGTGTATGTTTACATGTGTGTATAGGAAAGACCTGACCTGCCACTAGACCTCTGCTGCTTTCTGTGTTTGTCTTATTCTTTGTAGTGTTTTCTGAACCACCCCCATCACTCGCTCTGCTGTGTGTGTGTGTGTGTGTGTGTGTGTGTGTGGGGGGCCTCCCTAGGATGTATTCTGTTTGGTTTGGAAATGTGAGAAGGCCTTTCACAGACATAACTGCAAGGGATCTTTGAGTCAGAGGAAACACAAGAACATACACTTTCTGTTTTGTGCCTGATTAGCCTATTGAAATCATGTTAGTGCCATTTCATCTTTTTTTTTTTCTAAATTCAAGCAATATTTGTTCTCTATTTGTGTTTAATAAGTTCACTGTTTAGTGCACTGATGTCAGATTCATTTTGGATACCCTGCCTTCATTACATATATTTATCACATCATCATCAGTGTTTGATCACCACATCTAAGTGATCATTGCAAAAACATGTGTTTATGTATATATTTATTATGTTTATGTATATTCTGTATTATATACTATATATATATACAGGACCATTCAAAAGTTTAGCCACACTTTTCCATCCGTCCAAACTTTTGACTGGTACTGTCAAAAGAATAAGAATATCGGCCGATATATCAATATCTGACTTTTTTTACTCCCTAATATCGGTATCGACATCGGCCCCTTCAAAAATCCATCTGGCTCTAATAAAAACCTAATTTAAGTACAGTAGTAAACATATTAGCATATTTCCAAATCAACTAAAATCATAAGAATAATAATATAAAAGGGTTAGTTCACCCCAAAATGAAAATTCTGTAAGTAATTAGTCACCCTCATGTTGTTCCTACCCTGTAAGACGTTCGTTCATCTTCGGAACACAAATTAAGATATTTTTTTTTTAAATCTGAGAGCTGGATCACTCCTCCATAGGCTTCTAAGAGATTGAAACTTGCCAGAAAAGTTATTAAAGACATTGTTAAAATAAGTTTATCAATACTTTTGATTTGCAAAAGTAGAATACTTTTTTTGTGCAAAAACCAAACAAAAATAACAACTTTACTCAACTATTCATTCCTTCTCTGTGGACCTCGAGATTTCACGTAGTGTAACTGTGCAGAACTTTCAGGTTGTACGTTACACGCATCATACACATGATTAGCATCGGCCAATAGTGAGCCTATGTGTGACGTACAACACAGCAGCTCTGCACAGTTACACAACGTGAAATCTCGAGGCCCACAAATATCCAGGGCCTGGTTTAGCAGAGAGCTAATTTTTTCTAAGACCCATTTGATGCACATTCACTTGGCTGGCAAGGGGAGCTTTCAGAGTGAGAATGAGCACACAAAAGCGTTACTTAACATGTTAACCAGATTAGCATACTATAAGACAAAAAACATCAATGGTCAACTTCAGAGAGGGTCAACTTCAAAAGACTGCTTCAAATTGATCAGGTACCTTCAAGATATGCTATTGATGCTGCCTACCTACTTTTGTGCCAATATGTCAAATAGTTTTAAAGCTATTGCAATTTATGACACATTTTAAAATGGTGGGCCGATATGGTTCATCTCATCCTGGCTGTGCAAAATAAACTATTTATGCGTAGTGCTGCCTCTTTCTTGCATATATGTATTCCACTTATCAGGCCAGCACTCTCGAAATAAATTTAAGTGCAATCATTGTGTGAAGCCTGCTCCTACCTCCATTCATTCGAGCAGAGCTCCTCCAAACATGTCTTACGAAAAAGTGGAGCATCTCACTGATGTGAGAGCTAACACGTTTGCCTACACCAAACGACTCTGAGCAAATCCTCTTTCCCATACCAACAATTGAAATGCCGACCGATACTTGGGAGACACAATTTAATCAACTAGAGAATTTATGCAAGAAATAAACAAGAGCACTGCTACATTGTAGCATGCTTTCAGAATACTGGAGGAATAAACGCATACCCAGAGGATTACGCAATATGAAGGAACCAACATTGGGCCGTGATGATCTGGAGTTTTGCAAGAAATGGTGCAATATCCTTAATAAGTGTTCTCTCGATTTGATGTTGTTAATAGTTGACAATCAAAACAAGAAACTTGCTACAATCAAACAAGAGATTACAGACCTAGAGGCACAGCTGACGACAAAATTCTCCTCTACGCAACTTAAAGAACTTCTACAGAAATGTGACGCGCAGATAAGTGCTTACAAAATGGAGACGCAGCATAAAAAAATGAAGAAATATCGTAGAGACACTATGGATTATCGCAACAACAATGTCTACCCTTGGCTTCAGGGCAACTAACTAAACTAAACTAACTAAACTAACTAAATGTTTAAGTTCTTTAGGTCTATTCGTCTCAAGGCTTTCTAATCAAAAGGCTTTGTAAGACATTATAGTCAACATACGAATATTTCTCCTGAGCAATCTTCTCCCCCTCTATCTGAAAAGAACCTGTTTAAACCTAAGAGCACCTTTCTCCCTCCCATGAACAATTCGTCAGTGGAAACATTCTACCGGCTGGTAGAGCAAAAAAAATGTGACGTAGAGACATACAAGCCGCGCCCAGTAAGACGGAAGTGTAGACTTGAAGTTTACACATTCAGATACTTCATCATAGCATTATGTTGAGAAGACGCTGTGTTCTACAATGCAAAGATAGTTCAGCCACTTTGTTTTCATTTACCAGGGACGAGCATGTGAAGAATCGGTGGTTAGAGTTCATATTTGCAACAATACCACAACAGTATAGCCCGATTGTGTTTTCATCATTTTAATTACGAATCGTTCAAAAACATAAATTAATTCAAATGTGGATTCGCAAGCGGTTGTTCCTGAAGGAGGGCTCAGTAACTTACTTACCCAGTGTATATGGATCAGCTTCCTCCTATGAATCACAACCTGTAAGTATTATTAATAATTGATGCTTTTATGGGTTTTGAACGGTTTTGTAGCATTGGGTGCGAGGAGGGAAGGCGCAATAAGTATGTGTGTGCGCGTGTGTGTGTAAGTTATGCTCAGCGCAGCTTCTAGGTCTCCAATGTCATTTTTTTTTTAAATATGTGAAATGTTTGTCGCTGTTATTGGAGTTGTCATAAAGAATAAAGCGTCTTGTAGTACTGCAGTGCTTAATCAATATGTTTATGCGTTATGCTAACAAACAATAACTGACTGGGTCTGTCATCTGACCAATCACCGCCGATTAGCGTCACGCAAAGGAGTGGTTTGGAAAAATGAGTCGTTGTACGAATCATTTGGGAGTCGGTGAGCAAATCAGTTAAAAATAAATGCATTATATAAGACAAATAAAGTGTTTTTTTATCGTTGCATGCATGTTAAACTGTTTTTGGGAACTCCTAAAACAAAAATAGGAACATTTCAAATGCTATGATAGGGGCTCTTTAAAGAAGAAGGTTAAAGAAGAAAGAAAAGAGCAAAATTTTACCTTACAGAATACAAAAACAAATAGTTTAAAACAGTTACATTCTTACAGACATATGGGAATGCTTATGATTGAAAAGACTGTAGCGTAAAGTCTGCTGGGCAATAATGTAATAGAACTAAACCAGCTGAGATATATCAGAGTCATCCAATCTCATAGGCCACCAAAATGACATTAGATTTCTCAGGTGTTTACATCAAATTCACAGTTGGGTAACAGATTGTGATTAGCAGATTGAGACTGTTCTTGGTTGCTGTTTATAGCATACAGTTTACAGAGCACAGAATGCAGGGTTGAGTGTTTAATATACTGTATATATAAACAAGGATGTTTTTTAAGTTTACGTTTTCCATCTAATTTTTTCCATCTTTTTTTCCATCGTTTTCCATCTTTTAATTTAATACCAAAAACAATTTTGATCAGTTTTAGTTCACAAATTTCAGTACACATTTTGTTTTTGCACATTCAGTTTCCCACTGTTTCATCGATTTTAAAGCTTAATAATGGTGACTTACCTAGATGCAGTGTGATGTTGACTGAATTAGGATACTGAACTCCATAGAACATGGATTGGCTCTGCCACCAGGTGGGCTCTTCATCCGTGTGGAAGTCAGTCAGGTAAGTGGCGTTGTGATTCAGTTCCAAGTCCGAGGCATCACAGTGGTGACATGAGCGTGTGGACCCTGTCTGCATGCAATAGTCCTCTGGTGGGATACCACACACATTTGAAACGATAACAGAACGATTGAAGGCCGCATTTTCGAAGTTAGGCAAACAGCGGCTCGGGACGCCCTCCTCATCATAACAAGAGTCCATTCCAGCAAGAACACGGGAGAAGGTGGTGAAAATCAGAAGTAAAAGAAAGTGAAGTGCAGAGGAATCCATCCTTCTGCACAATGGCCTATAACTGAAACAACTTCAAAAGAGCACAGAGCTCGAAAACAAGTCTAGCAAATAATCCAAATCAGAGCCACATGCTACAGGGGAAAACTTCAAGGGAAGTTCAGCAGTTCAGTGTTCAAAGGCAAGCATAATGAAGTATGTGATATAGCAAACACACATGCAAATACACACATTTTGTGTGATACAGAAACAATTCTCTGAGTTTGCATGCAGCAATAAAGTTTCAAATAATACACAAGTTGCATGAACACATTAAGTTAAGCAGGAAAGGTGTAAAGAAACTGGAATATTCCTCCATCCTCTGTCTTTTTCTTCAGTGCATTTTTCTTTCTATTAGCATGTGTTTCCACTCAAAGAAGCCGAGGACACAGACTCTCTTTCTCTCTCATAGAAATTTGCAGACAGACAGAGTAGAAGGAAGAGAAAGGGTTGGAGGGGAGTTGACTGGGGTTGACCAATAATTAGATAAATAGAGGGAGGGGCTACATGAGAGAACAGATAAAAAAAAGTATAAAGAGGAGAAAGTTTGGAAGAGAGGCGCCCTCTTTTGTAAGAAGAAAAAGGAACTGCTGTTATATGTATTTCATTAAATAAGGAATAAATGTTTGGTTGGTTAGCATGACCCTAATTTGCCCTGCTGGTTGATGCCCATAACTGCAACTCAACAAAATAAAGAATAAAAATAAAGATACTTGATTTGAGTACATACATGTTTTTTCTTTAAAACAAAATAGTATATTTTTGTCAAATCACAGATTAGCTGGTTGCCTTGTAACCCCAAGGCAGACAGAGTGTTGATACTCTGGAACTAATCCATTTATCATTTTAAAGTTTTCAAGTTTAATTAAAGTGTTGCAGCCAATGAGTGATCAATGCGCTCTACTTCAATTCTAAGTTTTGGCACAGGGACTTTATTTGTGTAGGGACCTCCCCCAACATGGTAACAGAAGTCAAACCCATTAAAATCATTGAACTGTTTAGTGTTCCTTATAAGTGGGTGGGCGACTGAATCAGAACTACATATCAGAGCAAAAACCTTTCCATTTGATTCCATCTTCCTGTAGAATTGACAGTTCATCTACAAATGGTCTCAAAAATGTGAGCATGCCAAATCAAAGACATGGAAGACAGTTATTTGCCTTGTGTTCTCTAGGCTCAAGCTCTTGAACTTGGCACTGTATGGGCCAGATCTGGTACTTGGAGCTCCTGAACAGTGGGATTCCATCACAGTTCCAAATTAAAGATATGTCATTCTCACCCATTGCACCAGATTCCTTAAGTTTCTGAGACCCTTCTCTACATTGGATGTCTGAAATTGTATCTCAAATCAGCTAATCTTTTTGAATTTTTTTTTTTCTCAAGCAATGTTTGGATCTGTGAGGCCAAACGAAGAACCAGGAAAAAGCATCCACTTTTAAGTAGGGGTGGGAATCTCTAGGGACCTCATGATTGAGCAACAAGCGGGGGAGCTATGTCAAAGATTCATCGACAGGAGTTATACAGATTTCACTTGAGACCGGTAAGCATTAGCCTCGATAGTAGTTGTGCCTCCTTCATTGTGTATTTTTATATTTTATATATGATCCTCCACTGCATACTGTAACCCCTTTTGCCTCGATCTGGAGAATATCGCTGAGGTATTACTCCAAAAAAGGTCTCTTACTTGCACGGGTATACCTCTTCCCGTCATTGGATTGTATGCACATGCCCCGCCCCGCCCGCTGGAAAGCCTATCGTCTGCTTTTAACAGTCAAGCCGGGAAACATGTAAGCCTATCGTCTGGTTCCACTGACACATGCGCACAGTTGATGTTTGCGACAGTGGAGACGAGAACCCTTGCACATGCGTAGTAAAAAAAAAGACCATTTAAACCTTATTTTGGGGCAAAGTCATCAAAAAATTTTTTTGATGGCCCAACTGAGTCAACAACTAATTTAAAAAATCTAGGGTGTATGATGTTATAAGAGCAAAAGATGGGTTTAAGAGTAGCGATGGTGTTTTAAGTAGCCTACCTGTAGCAAAATATGTTCAAAAAGATACCAGGAGGCAGGATGTAGCAAGGGATGGGAGGTTCAATATGAGAAGAGCTTTCATTGTGTCTTAAATTAGAGATTTTGTCATTAAAAAAAAATCTCGCAAAGCCCTCACAAAGAACATCAGAAGCAACAGACATTGTATTGATTGGAAAGGCCTCCAAAGCGCTGTTGTTATGTTTGAACGGCCAAAAAGCACATAATGTTTTTTCGTTTTTAATTGAAAACAGTATTGTGTAAACGGCCGCTTAGATCCTCGCCTTTGCCATGCTCACTCCTAATGCTAGAGATTGACTGACCCGCTGTGGATCTAGCAGGATCAGTTTGTTTAATTCTTTTCGCCAGGACGAGCATTGTCTTGAGAACCACACCTGTGTGTTTTTGGACTTGGCTTTACCCACTTCCCAGACAATACGCATAACCTTTTATCTTTCTGGACTCATTTAACCCCTCAGAACACAAATTTCTTCAGTTGGTCCTCCTCAAGAAACATTTTGTGAGTTTGCAGAGTGAGTGCTTAAGCTGAGCGTAGAGAAGGACCCCCATCCCCAAATAGTTTTCTGTAAGTTTTATAGATCTTCTTGAAAATAATAACAGTGACGGCTAAAATTGTGGACCTTACCGGTAAATGAATATTTGCACATGCAAATTACTTAAAGTTTTATATAAACATAAATATTTGAAGCAATCACTGGTGCTTGACTCCTCCAAACAAATTGATGGTCTTTCAGTGTTTGTGGTAAATGACAATGTAACTATTGATTTCAGTTGAGTTGAATGTAATTTGATTGTGTGCACTCATTAAGTCAAGGTAATCTCAAGCAACAAGATATTCATTTGTTTGACAGACACAGCATGGAGTAAAAAGAATAGAGTGATTGATTTTACTTTCTGGAAACCTTTTATATTAAGGAGAATTCTCACCATGCATGGAAATGCAATCATTACAGAGGAACATGAGGAATAAATGCAACCCACTCATGACATTGCTTTTCATTGACAGGACTGTGATTGGACAGAATTCAATTTTGTTGTGGCACACTTTCCACTCTGTTAAGACTGCAATGCAAAAGACAGCATCATTCAGACATCTGCAATGATGTGTCTCATATTTAACTTGCCAAGAGTAAAGAGTCACACTTGCAATATAGCTGGATAAGTGGATTATATTTCAAGGTGTGAATGTTTTTTTTTTATTTATTCCAACAGGAATTTCTGCATTTTATTGTCTAAAAAGCAAATCACCATACGTTTTATTGAAGAGATAAGTGGCTGTAAAAATAAATAATGACATTTTTGCTTTCCATTATAGCATAATATTAGGTTACAATATGCAGGTCGCAAATGCAAACATGAGTGTATTGAGTTATACATTGTTTCCATGTAATGACTGCATTTAATAATTCATCCATTCTCTCTGATATATTTATGTCTAAAAAATCAAAAAAATTAAATCTAATCGTCTTTGTCTCATATAGTGTGCAGGGTGCAATTTAGTAGCTTTATAGCACTTTTGCTCCTTCAGAGCCACAACTGCTAAGCCACCTTTTTTTTTTTTTTTTTTACCAAGATGAATGAGCACATTTCACTCCGAGGACCTACTAAACATTTGGGGGAGATAACGGTGCAAGAGTAGGACCAGACATTCATTCATTATTTGCTACACAAAATCTATCTTTTTTTAAAGGTGTTTTAACAGGTAAGGGTCAGTGTATATGGATGGACATACAGGTTACATGCACATTTATTCATTTATCAGACACTTTTATCTAAAGTTCCTTAAATTTGGACTAAATATATTTAGTCTGTACATACATTTCCTCTCTCTTTTGTCTTGTCTTTTGTCTTTTCACTTTAGGAGTCAAGAAATAGTCATCATAAAAGCCTTCAATGTTTCTCTCTTGCATTGATCTCTCTTGCATTGTATATTTATATTGTATATATAACCATGTCAAAGTTTTTTTGGTCCTTGTCTTTTAATGTAATTCTGCATAATTTAAGATTGCTTTTTCCATTATATAACATTATGACATGGATAATTTGAGGTTAGTAAATTCTGTTGTTACTATCCCATTTATGAAATGAAATATATTCAAATCAGACTGGTCCTCTTGTTGATGTCAATCAAATGGTCAAGGTAACTTGTACATCAATAAAGTTGTCACAGACTCAGCCACACCGGCACTCCCTCAATCACTCAATCATCACACTTCACCCACTGTTCACTCTCATCCGATTTTTAATCATCCCCACTGGTTAAATACACTCACCTTCTGTTCCCTCATTGCCTGGTCTCATATTTGACTGGTTCACAGACCTGTTGATACTCACAGTGATCGACTACCTGCCCTTAGTATTGTTCATTGGAGTATCCTATTTTCGTCTGTCCTGTTATCCAGATCCTCATCTGTTCCTGTCTCTGTCCATTCTGCCGTTAATCTTCCTCCATCTTCAAGCAGCACCATCCACTATCATCACCAGCTCGGGATCCCTTCCACCATCACCAGCACGGATAAGTCTCATACATGCAAACTGATTGAATTACTCCTGTTCATATTACATCCTGCAAATGAACTGTTTGTTTATAATCCTTATCTGTTCCTATCTGTGAGCGTGACAATGTATTATATTTTTCTATCTTCCAAATCGCTTTATACAGTATTGATTTTCTGTTCAAATGGGAATCAAAAACTTCCTTTTTATAATGCATAAATAATATAATTGCCCAGATATATCCTTCATTTGCACACATGCACAATGCAGGTTTCCGATGTATAAAATGCAAGTTGCTTATGTATGAGAAATGCAAGCCATATTAGGGTATCACACGTTTGGAGCTGATTTGCTTTTAGGTGAATGGCCAGCCAAAATGTATTTTAAAAAAATGAATTGATATTATTAAGAGGAAATGAGCCATGAGCACCTCAACATGGTGTTCAGCCAATCACCAGCACACACAGACAGTGAGAGCAAGTTTGTGATTTATGGATTCTTTTCTGCCAATTTAAGAATTACAGAAGGTGAGCAGAAAAATAACTTATCTAGATGAAAGTCAGAATGTGTGGCACTGCAAGGGGCTTTAATTGTACACTGGACTGTCACATTATGGAAAGAGACAAGGCCAATGAAGTTTTTGACAAATGAGACTGAAAAAGAGGGTAAAGACAATTTTGACATGAGAAAAGAAGAGTGAAGAGATGAGATTAAGACATAAGACAATTAGGTGGTGGAACAGGGAAAGGTGGGTGGATGGACAGAAGGTGGACTGTTACATAAAGATGAAAAAAAGACAATAATGGAGGGATGGAGGTAGTGGAGAAGACCAGATATAGAAAGGATGAGTCCACTCCGTCATGCTGTGCCCTTA